CATTAAAAGTTTATCACCCCACAAGATAAATTTCAATTAAGTAATTTTTTTGTTGAAATGGCAGGTAATATAAGGATTTTATCAGCTACAAAAATATTTAGTTATTTACCAAAAGTGAGTATTTAACATCTATTTGCATACATGGAATATCTATATATTTTTTGTATTAGGCGCTGTTTTCAAGTAAAAAAACCTCCCCAGAGATTCCAAGAAATATTCTCGAAAATGTTATATCAGCACATCAACAAGAGGGTCATGGGATAGTCTATGATAAGAAGCCATTTAGAATGACTTTAGAAGCAGGTGAAGAAATAGATTATTTTTTATGAAGTTTGAATGTGACATCAATGGTTTATGTTGGGCAGTAACTTTTTGGGGTGAATTTTTCAGTTTACCCTTTGTTACATTTCAGCAGATTCTCTATTGATTTAATTTTGATCATTTTTCAGGATTGTGCTGATGTTGATTTTGAGTAACCTTTAGGGAATACATTTAATCTGTTTGTAATGTGCTACTGTGTATAGAGTATATAGTTTTTGAATATTCAGCGTTAATTAAACTGAAAAACTTATATGTGGCAAGTTAAAACTTGATCTGATATAGTGCTCGATATAGTTGATCATTACATTCTTTTGAAGAAGTTGGATATTGAAAGAGAAAAAATATTTATGACGATTTCAAAATTAGTTAGCAGTATACTCGTATATAGGAAAAATGTGTTCAATAAAAACCATCAAAAAGGGAATACCACAATTTTCTATTACATATCCAACCCAGTTTTTTCATCATTTACTTTTCTGAAAATAATGATATTCAAAATTTAATGGAACTAGACTTAAATTGATATCTTTCTAGCTTGTATCTTATATGCTACATATGTAACTATAACTGAAATAAATTTTAGTTGAAAAACCACACCAACGGCGGCGGGGCGCCTCCCAGTGTCCAATCATGGGACTGTGTGGTGACGTGTCTTCTGTCGTCTTCCTGGGCTCAACAGTACAGTTATCCTTCTGCCATTCCACTCCCTTTCTATCTTATCCTCCTTTCTTTCCTCACCTGACTCCCGTATGTGGGTGAATGTTTCTGTATATATTTTCAATAGATTTCACTAGTGTTATAAAAAAAATAGAAAATGAAGAGATTTTGATTCGATTGATTTTGATTCCACCTTGAAGGATAACATTGTTGTGGCCTTCAAATTATCTTGAGAGTAAACTCTTACTTTATAACGTAAATTCAAATAAAAAATTTACTTGAATAATATTAATATAAAGAAAGCACTGTGCTCCTACCCGAAGACCTGAAAAATCTCAAAAAACATTGACTGAATATTATTTTATTCAGTAGAAGCATACATGTAACTCCAGAATTCACTAGTCGATTGCTGCAAAAAATTAATTACAATGCCCACAATTGTTACATGTGTGGCTGTACATTCTATGTTTCATCATTTTTATAAATAATTTTTTTCTTTACATTTATATATGTTCTAATACAGTTCACTTTTGTAACAGCTTCTCAACTAATTTGCTACTCGTGTAATTTGTTCATTATGTAATCAATAAAAAAAACGTGTTGCAAAGTCTTCAGTACTACATTTTCTTTGTGAAATTTCAATCGCAGTTCTATGCATTATAATTTAAGAGTATTTCTAGCACTTTATTGAAAAAAAAGTTGGTAGATATGTTTTCAAGAATGTATTCATATTAAATTTATTGACCTAAGTGAGAAAATCTAACGTTAAGTTACTGCTTTCAGTAAATATATTACGTCAGAATGTAACACTGAAATTTTTTTTGACGTGAAAGAGTATATATTTCCATCAGAATATTCAAATATTGTTGACAATGATTTTTATTAATAGCACTGATTTACGTTAGGATGTCAGAATAGATCTTTTAATATTTGTAAAAAACTCCACTTTCAAGCTAGTAATTATATTCACGTCGTTATATTATGTCTCTAGGATCTTGGAAATTGTGATATCAAGTGAAACTTCCAAATTGATAATGTTTTTGTACATTTGGTTGCTTCCTAAATAATCTCAAACAATATTACAATATCGGTGGAAGTGAACTAACGTTAAAATGTTAAAATAAGAGCACTCGCTCACAAACCGTACCGCTTGTTCATCAAATCTGAGAATAAATCACAAATTTCTTCATCTGATTATATGAAGTAGAGTTAATTATTTTTAAAATTAACATTTTATCATTGTTATGAATTAGTTCATTTGAAATAATTTATTTTTAACCCAGTAAACCACACGCTTTATTATAAAGCCATACATGAATAAAAATCTAGTAGGTGGTAGAAAAACTCGCCTCATTTCCGTAATCATTAATTTTGCCCAACCTCTGAGCAGCTTGCTGTGAGGCTTCAATTTCCTGTTTAATAGCTCGTGCAAAAGCTCTCCCAACTACCTGCGATCCAGCAATTATAAGTTGTGCTATATACTTGGCCATTTCGTTTAAATTTCGATAGACTTCAACCTCAACACGAACATAACCATCAAATTTTCGATTCATCTTCTAATTATTCTGGTTGAGTGGCTAACAGCTAGTGGAGCCCTCCGGACAAGCGTTACTTATATTTCCATTTGTTTACAAATTTACTTCATTTGCATACAGAAGAAGCGCTCTGTATCTTGAAACAAATACTGCTTCTAAACACCAGAACTACAACACTTCTATTGATGCGTATTTCACCAACCAATTTGTACTTTAGGATTTATTCTACGCAAAAGGCTCCAGTTCTATTTTTATTAATGATGTATCTCAGTTGACAGTCTTACACATATCTCTTGTTTAATTATTTAGAGATTCAGCCACATGACGAGTCTAAAAACTACTACTGGTTGAAGTTCATACGGCTTTTTGTTAAATGAAAAATTTTGAGAATTCAAGAAGAAGCCAAAGTGTTAATTTATAATTTTTTCTCAAGGTGAACATACTTTCACTCATATTCACTCAGAAATTTATTTGTTCTGCCAGAGGCTTAACTCATATTGTTACTTATCTCTTCTTCAAATATTCTTGATTATTCAGTTTGGGGACTTCGAAGTTTCAGCATTATAACTCCATAAATAATATTTGAATAAAATCATTTATTGTTTTTAAGAAAGATTTCAATGTAGTAATTATTTGAAATATATCACACCCTATTCGAGTACTCTGATGGGGTACATGAAACTATTGAATAAAGAAACTAGAGCTGGTTGAGGTTGCGGCTTATATGAATAAAGATGCAAGTTGAGTATGTATAATTTTCCTGGAATCAAGCACCTTATCATCACTCAACACCTAAAAACAACAGTGTCATATCCAAATACCTAAAAAACGGAATCCTGCTAAGTGAATGTCAATGATGATGAAATGAATGATTCACTCATCACAACTTTTCATATTTTATGTTACAATCAAATAATGACATCATTACAAGTTGACATTTTCAGTTATGTACATCAGGATGAAAGGTGAAACTGACACCCCTGGCGTAGATTAAATCCAAAACAAACACTTTTCCAAAACATCAGAACTGCAATACTCTTCTCGGTGCACGTTTGACATGCCAAGTTGACGTCATTAGTAGATAAAAAAACTAATTCCCGATTCGCCTCACCCCCTTCCGGGTTGAGTGCCCTGAATTGAGATCTCCACACGATTACTGTGTGCAGAACATCCCATCTCGTCCATCCACCACCTCTTTGGAGGAGCGGCCTCAACTTACTGATGGGCACTTCAGCAAGATTGACATCTTACCTTCTTTGGTCGAAAGTCAGCTTCTAGGCGCTTTCACTTTCTAATCTACTGTATTGTTTTATCTTGACTTTCCTAACTAACCGGAGGATATTATTTTAAAAAAGAGATCGCGGTCGAGTGTTTCTTATTGAACTTGAAAAGAAAGTGTTTGTCATCTGTTACAAATGTTTTTATACTGCCTGATAGTGACTCTCGGAGGGAGGTAGTCGTTGGTTCTGCTTGGTTAGCCTTCTATGCTTGTCTCTCTCTCTCTCGGAATCTGGAGTTATCCCTGTTTAGTGCATTGTGTATATCGTTTAGCGCTGGATTGTCGTCGCTCGAATCCTGCAAACGCGTCTTCTGCGTGTTGTCTCATATATGCGTCTAAATAATATATGTTCACGTCTAGATCCCGGAATATGTACCTATTCGGTACACTTCTTGAAGTATTTACGGCGGCCCTTACGCACTATACCCAACTCTAAAACTGGTCTCTATTTATATCTAACAGGGTACACTATCACTTAATGACACACATTAATGATGTCGGAATGGAATTTGCGTCAAATTTTGTCGTGAAAGTTCTTGCTGAATTTAACAGAATGATTGCAATTGGGGAGTTAGGTACATGACATTAGATTTATGTTTTAGAAAGTCTGGAAATAGCCAAGTTTGGTATGAGAACTATAAACAGTAACAAAGTCTCTTTCCAAACAGCTCATTGTTCATCTGCTATAAATCACTCTGTTAAAATCAACAAGAACATTCACGAGGAAATTTCCTGAAAATTTCTACTTGAAATCAAGATGTGAATCAGAAATTTAAAGTGTACCTTGTTAGCTATAAATATAAACCAATATTAGAATAAGGAATTAGTTTTCTTCATCTCCTTTAGACGCTAACTTGCTTTGTGAAACGCGTATTGAGAAAATATATTTCAGTTCTAGTGTTTGGGAAACAGTATGTGCAGAACACATTTTAAAGTACTTTTTCTAAATTGAAATGGGTGTATTTTCGGGAGAGATTAATTTTTGGGAAAGAAAGGTTTTGGCTGTCTGCTTCTTCATGCAAAAACATGTAAGAATCTTCCGAAGGAAGGAAGGAAGCAATCAATTTTAAAAAAGTAAACTCTATACAAAGATGTGTAAATGATGCAATAAAGTAACTCCAAACATCCATATGGAAATGAATTAGATAACATTCACAGGGTAAATGGAATAGGCAAAATTTCTATTTCATAGAACACTGTCATCCTCAAAATAAGATACTTGCCTTATTGCCTATACAGCTGGGAAGCCGACTGACATACAGTTTTTATAAGTATCCGGAGTGTTGTCAATACTTGTAAAATGTAGTGTACCGTTAATAAAATGTTTTCAGATACATTACTTGAGTTGTAGTAAGGAATTTATTTTTATGTTTTCGTCTGTAATGAGGTTTGTTATTTTGTAATTAACCTCTGGCGAAACCTTAGCAAATTATAAAATGTCTTGTTATGTCTCTCTCCAGAACAAAATTCTCAGCGGTACTGTGTTCCTGAAAGAAAATACAGGGTAATCTTCAACTCCTTGTTTTCGACTATGTCTTTCAAGGATTCTATTCTTGCATATTATATATTACTTACATATTTTTCTAGACTCTTGCGACCCTGAACCACTCAAACCAAATCATTTTCTAGTCGGACAGTCTTACGCTGGGATGTCGTGCGCTGACCTGGAGAAAAAATTCAATTCATTTTCAAAATGGAAAACAGCCCAATGCATGGCTACTGCGAACTAATTTCGTGGAGAAATTGTTTTCGACTATGTCTTTCAAGGATTCTATTCTTGCATATTATATATTACTTACATATTTTTTTAGACTCTTGCGACCCTGAACCACTCAAACCAAATCATTTTCTAGTCGGACAGTCTTACGCTGGGATGTCGTGCGCTGACCTGGAGAAAAAATTCAATTCATTTTCAAAATGGAAAACAGCCCATAAACTAGCAGATATGTTTTGGAAGAGTCGGACACATGAATACCTTACATATCTGACAAAACGAAGCAAATGTCAAGAAGAATCGTCATGTATTCGAAAGAACGATGTTTTTCTTATAGTTGACCCCAATGGTCCAAGAACTCATTGTCTGAAAGGTCGAGTTTTGAATTTATTTTCTGCTAAAGGCAACTGGATAAGGACCTTGACACGTGTTTAAATCCCCACTTTTGAAGATGCGATCACTCGGTGATTGAAACACGAGTCGAAGTGTTGAAAATAATGGTTTGGTGTTGGGATTGAGCTCCAGTAAAATTTATTACTACATCAAAGGTTCCGAACAGTGCATCACAAGTGAAGAATACATATTGAATATATACGCCAAGCAAGCAAGCCTAAATAACAAACAACAGTAGAAATTATTCAACATGTTTCTATCTTTCATTATGGGATCTGTACAATCAAACTACTGAGTCACTAATAACAACTATTCAAACTGAGTGCAATTTACAGAAAAGAAGTTGAAGTATTTGTTAGGGTCATATATCCTCATTTTCGTGATGAGGTTGTAGTAATATCCTTGTATTTTATGATTCATTGAAATTTGGCGAACACTAAACCGTTTATTACCTTTTACGGAAACTTTAGATAGTTTCAGGAGAAGACATTAATAAAAAAGTTGGAAGAAAGTATTCCAGTCATCCATATCTAAAATCAAAAAGAAAGAAGACGCCGAAAACGTATAAGTTCTGTTGTTCAATAATTTATTCGAATCGCAATAAAGTTCAAATATTTCAACGTTTGCGGTATTCATCCGAAAATTTTGCGAGATTCACATAAGAATGGTTACGCCTTTATTATATGGACGGTACCCTCCTTATAAAAAAATCAAAAAATTCTCTGGAAGAGATTGCCTGAATCCATAGTAGCTAAACACAAACCTGATTGAGAAGAAGAAAAATCCACTAACACTAATGAGAAGAAGCTACACATTGGTTTGTTTATAATTTTTGTGTTGTTTCAAACATATTTTGGCTCTAGATTTTGAGAAAAAGTATTATAACTTCTGAAGTTGATTGTCAATACCGTTTTCAATATGGGAAAGCAAATAGAAACGAAGTACTCAAATGCTAGTCACAATGTATTGAAGAAATCTTCGACAAAAGAAAAAAATAGAAGACCAAAAAAACTTAATATTAGTGACTCTGAAAAAGGCCCCAGTTCACCCAATTGCAAAAGAAAGAATTGGGGAATGAGTGATATCAAAGAACCACCATCAAAGATACCCAAATTATCAGCAGAATATATTGGGAATGATGAGAATCCTCCTTTGGATCATGTTAAAACTCATATTAGTTGGAATACCCCAGATGACAATGAAATTGCCCAGAATAAAGTTACTATTGAATATTCTAAAAATTTAGATAAAGCTTATTTGAAAGAAGAAGATCCTCATCGTGATTTATTTTTTGTTGACGAACTTAGAAATGGTTACTTTAACTTCATTACAAAGGATTTTTACTTTCACGTGATTGATGAAATATGTTTAGAGGGTTTGGATGGAATCACCTTGGAAGGTGAGTCACAGCATGTTTTGTTTATATTGACTTGTAGAGAAAAGTAACACAAAATTCATATTTGTGGATATTCTTCTCAACAGCCTTGCTCTAGTTTTTTAATAAAAATTTGGAGTTATGTTTCTTTGCTGATTATGAACCTGAAATCCAAACGTGACGCTTCAGCTACTCAAAAATCCATACTTGATATTATCAAAAGATTATGTATATTTTCCACACTATCAAAGTTGCTTCTAGAAATTAATCTAATATTCATTATCATATGTAAAATGTTGGAACAGAATAATGGTGTTTCCTGGTGAAATTATGTTACATCAATTTTTAAGCATTATGGAAAAGATTATTAACTGGATTGGATGGACCACTAGATATAAATCAAAATTTGAAGAGGTTTATGTGGAAAATAATGAAGAAAAATGCACATATTGAGTTTTATGAACTACCTCAACCAAGAAAAGAACTCTTGATTTATGATCGTTTCAAATATCTCAATACTGAAATTGGAGTTGTTATGGAATTGGTAAGTCAATATCTTAATGTTGAAGCAAATAAATATACTGAAAGCTTAACAAATGACAAAGAGCTTTTTTGCAACACTATTATATATTAGATATCCATCCAATTTAATTTTGAAACATTTTCAGTTTATCAGACTCAACTCAATTAAAAATTATTAGTGAACAAAAGTCATTAATTTCCCTATACTTTGACAAATTTTTCTATCTACTTTTCTATTTCTTTCAAAAAATCTGGAAATTTTCTAAAGGAAGGAAGAAAGCAATTGATTTTGAAATAAACTCTTAACAAAGATGTGTGGACCATGCAAAGAAGTAACTTTCAGAAAAAGCTCTTTTGAAACAATTACTTTCATATAAACGTTGAATTACACAAAAGAAAAAATACTTTCGAAACAACTACTTTTATATGAACATTGAATAATACAAAAAAACACTTTTTCCTATTCAGTTTTTACTCTAAACATTCGTTATGGAATTGAATCAAATATCTATCACAGGATTGCTACACAATATCGTATATGAAAGAGGTAAAATTTCACTTACATGGAACATTGTCATCCTCAGTGGTGGATATCTGATGTTTCAGAATTGCTTTTGCAGCACCAATCTGGATAACATTATAAGACGAAGCACTCAATTCATTCATAAAATTATGACTTAACGTCACAAATGAGTTAAATCTACTCATCCCATCGATGACGGTAGGTAATGAAATTCATTCACTTATTTGATTTAATCCCAGCCATAGGAATCTTGTTTAAATTGAAAGGGGTATATTTTAGGAGATATTCATTTTTATGAAAGGTTTTGGCTTTCAACTTCTCCATCTTCATACAGAAAATGTGTGAATATTTTTAAGAAAGGAAGGAAGCAATTAATTTCAAAATTAACTCTTTACAAAGACGTATAAATCATGTAAAGAAGTAACTTTCAGACCCAATCTGGAAGAAAAAGCCATCAGTTACAGCTGGCAGACTGAGTCATGGCCGGTGAGAAGCCACTCCCTCAAAATGTGCAGTAGATCTGTAGAAATCTGTTAGTAGTCTGTAAGATTATTCGAGCCATAAATAAAATTGCAAACACAAGTTTCTAGAGAAAGATTAAACAGTTTAATCTTCCTCTTGAAGATGATCGCTTGGTGATTGAAACTCGTGTCGAGGAGTTAAAAATAACGGTTTGGTGTTGGGATAAAACTTTAGTAATATTCATTTAATAAAGTATAGTGTTTATTTGAAACTCTGTATCGCTTCCCCTTAAATATTTCGAGAACGAAGAATATTAAAACCACTTTACAGAATATCACTGTTGCCTGATATTGAATAAATGCTGAGAACCAATCTTGATAGACATATATCACAAATTATTTATACTAAGCCAATGTTCTCCGCCCCAAAGTGCTTCATAACTTATTATTCTGTTAATGTTAGTCTGATTTTTTTTCAACAGGCTTACGAACTTCCAGAGTTGTATCCTCTTAAAATAATCAATGATCCAAACGTTTCAGGATCTTGTTCTACATTTGAGGAAAGGAATGATATTTCTGATGTAATTAGGAGTATGAGTTATGAAGAAGTTGAAACGTAAGTAGTTGTTGTAATAAAAGAAACATTTTTTTAGTTGCAATAAACCCTCATTGGTTACCGTGGAGGGTCGAATGAACTCGCTCACTTTGACTAATTCAACCCAAAAATAAGATTATTAGCGTTATGAATCCATAAATTGAATGGGAATGTGAATTTTTTTTTTTTCGTCTAGATTTGGACAAAAATTGGTGATAGTTGCCAGTCAGTACTTGAGGACTCAAGCACTCCTTGGTGAATTGTCAGATCCATGCATTGAAATGCAAAGTGTGGAGTACTGCATCTTAGAGAGAATTGGTAGGTCTCGAAGATTAGGTGAATTGACTCAAGGAAACATGTCAATATCATCTTTTTTCAAAATGGATCCTAAATCTGTATTCCACTACAAGAAAGTAATTTATAGCAATAATCTTATATCCAAACAATTCTTTTATATAAAGTCAGTCGTTACTGATCAAAATAAAATAGGAAGGTTGCTGCAGTTGAGAAGATTCCACACACCTATAAAATTGAAACCCCTTGTGGTAACAGAAAAAGTAGTTGACATGTTGAGAAAACAGCCGGGGTATAGGATGGACGTTAACGAACTTAGGGAAATATTTGGTTCAAATTATACAGCGATGTTGAAAATATTCAAATCATCAGAGTTCCGAAAATTTGTGAAAACAGATGCTGTGAGTATATTTTTTAGGATGACAAACTCATATTACAATCGATTTCCATTTATTTCCAGGTATATAACTACAGGTTTATATACCCGGATGCGAAAAAATCGGAATATATGAACAAATCGAGACTAGGTGAAAAAATTGTGAGATGTTTTGAATTGAAAAATCCTTACATGAATGTAACTGCATCTTGGAGCAAAGAACTTGAAGACTCCGATGAAGATGATGAAGATGGTAAATTATTGTATTCTCTATAAATTTTTGATTTCATCGTTATTTCTGGGAAAGCCAATCTAAAATGTTCACTTTTCCTGGTATGAGTCTCAAAGGTCCTATATAAATATCGAAATCGTTAACATGAAACATAAAAATTGTAAAAATTATATTCAAATAAAAAAGAGCAACGTAAATAAACCAGGGAATTATTTTTCGTATAGCGCATTCTCTTCTCAACTGCTTGGAAAACTCTGGAAAAAAATTCATGGTTCCACTGAGAGCGGAGTTCAATCTGGCTTGTTATTTTTTTTTATAGATACATGTCTGATGTGTCTTTCATTGCACCCATTTCTTTTATAATCTATATTTTAATGATTTACCACATACTTTTTTCAAATGTGTAGACTGGTAATGAAACAAAATACATAGCATTAATGAAAGTTAGAATCTCTCTAAATAATTTTCTCAAAGAATTAAACAATTTGAAAGTCACTTAAGTACATTTAAGTATATATGAGTAAAATAAGTTTTGAATATTATCTACTATCTACCCTTTTCTGTTAAATATTTATGTTGGTTTATTGATAAACAAGGATGGAACAATTAAGAACTCTCATCTCTTTTTATTTCAAAGTCATGTGAAGTTGGATAATACGATAGGTTGCCTTTTATGTTTCGGGATTTGGCAACCCTAGCAACTGATGCAATCTGGCAACTGACAGCTCTATCGTAAAGTTAGACATTAGCTTATACGTACTCAGAACATTTTGACAAACGCGCGCTATTTGTGTTGTATACAGTAACTTAAATGATTCATCTCGGCCCAAAAATTGAATTAAATTGTGAACATTTTCGTGCGATTATTTTTTACAACTGTCGACGTGGATGGTATAGTGAATTCAATTGTGGTCGTAGTTCACCGAAAACCATTGATACTGTGAGTGAACTGATATTGCTAGATCGTCATGTGACCTATCGTGAGATTGAGACAACCTTAGGCATTAGTGGGACCAGCATACATTCAATATTGCATAAACATTTGACTGTCAAAAAAATTTGTTCGTGTTGGATCCCACACAATTTGTTAATCGCTCAAAAAAAGCCTCGTGTCGATTGGGCGAAGGAAATGCTCAAAAAATACGATCGCGGTGCTTCGAAACACGTCTATGACATTGTGACAGGTGATGAATCGTGGATTTACGCGTATGAGCCCGAAAGTAAACAGCAGTCGACTGTATGGGTGTTTCAAGATGAGCTAAATCCAACAAAAGTTGTTCGCGCACGAAGCACTTCCAAGCAAATGGTTGCCTGTTTTTTCGGAAAAACTGGACATGTCGCAACTGTACCCCTAGAACAACGCAGAACAGTCAATTCTGAGTGGTACACAACCATTTGTTTGCTAGTTGTCTTCTAAGAAATCAGGAAAACCAACCGCCGAAGACGGATCACTCTTCACTACGACAATGCGAGCTCTCACACATCGGCTCAAACAACTGCATTTTTGAGCACCCAAAACATCGTTTTGTTGGGTCATCCGCCGTATAGTCCTGACTTGGCACCGAATGACTTCTTTTTATTCCCGCACGTAAAAAACAAACTGAGAGGTCAACGTTTTTTGACATCTGAAGTGGTTACTGCATTCAGAATGCATGTTTTGGAGATACCTCAATCAGAGTGGCAAAAGTGCTTCGACAATTGGTTCAAACACATGCAAAAATGTATAGATCTTCATGGGAAATATTTTGAAAAACAATAAAGTGACTTTCGATGATTAATATGTTGTTCTCTAATCCCGAAATATAAAAGGCAACCGTCGTATCCATTAAAGTATCTCAATGTCTATGCCTAAATATAAAAATTTTCTTTTTATTTTAAGGCTTGAGTATCTCCATTATGAGTATCTAAATGTAAACATTTTTCAAAACGTTTTGAAACTTCACATTTGAAAATAGCAATAATATCAATTTATAGAAAAATTATTTTTGTTTCATCTTGGATTCACTTGAAATAATGTATTCAATTAGTCCTTTCATTCTGCCCAAAGAGAAAATCTAGAAATCGGCAACGAAAGTAAATATTAGTAATTTGAAAGCAAGAAGGCTATGAATTCATGTGTGTGCGGGTGTAAATCTAAGCGTGTTTGTTTGCGTGCACATGCGTGTTGTGTGTGTGTGTGTGTGTGTGTTTGTTCTAATTGAAATAGCTACACTATTGCCATCGTGACGTCTTTCAATGTAACTGCACAAAATCTACCATCAAACAATTTCTGCTTTCGACAACTGGTTACTTGATTTTTTTCCTCAATAAATTGGTTTGATTCTCCACGAAAAATCATAAATTCGAAAACAAATGGCTCAAATCTTATTCTTGTGGCAAAGTTTTTTCGATTTGCTTTTGTATTGTTTTGACACAAGGTAAAATGGCCTCGTAAGGCTTTCAATTATCAAGAAACATTTTTATTTTGTTATTGAAATTTCAGAAGACATAGACTCGCCATCGGATGGAAAAATTTTCAATGAAGAGATTTTAAAAGATGCTTATTATCATATTTCTATGCTTGGCAAAGAAGGCTGTTCAATGAAAAAATTGAAGAAACTAATATCAGTGGATTCAAATTCCTGTCGTAGAACTCTGAAAAAGTTACATCAGAAAAGAATTCTTGATGTTAAAAAATGTGATGCAGGCAAGCAAAGGACCTCTCTGTAAGTTTTATACTCATTTATAATTGATAATCTATACTTATAAATGCAAAAGTCACTCATTTTACAGTCATTCATATCTTTTTCTCCTTACTGGTAAGTACTAGGAAGCTAAAAGTTGCTGATTGATTCAGCCGTTACTTGATGAAGATCTATAGTAATTTCATAAACTAAACCTCACGATTTGATCTCCACAAACTTAATTTGAAAAATATGTCACGACATGTTTCGCTAACACAGTAGCTTCTTCAACAGTGATTTACTGTTTCACTGTTGAAAAAGCTACTGTGTTTGCAAAACACGTTGTGATATATTTTTTAAATAAAGTTTGTGAAGAGCAAATCGTGAAATGTAGTTTATGAAAGATAAAATTTGGTATATAGGTGCTTCTTAGGTCTAAGATGCGCACTAAGAAAGAATTTGCAAATATTCCAACTGGCGCGTCTCCCGTCGGGGTAAAAGAGGTGCGTAAATTTCACTTCAAAATAAAGTATTTATGCATTAATTTCATTATTCCAAATTTCAATTTTTTTAGTTGAACCGTTCCAAAAATAAAAAGGGGGGACATTGAAGAAATGCACTACCTTTACTTAGAACCGATTTCAGAATATCATTCAGTTTGCAACTTGAGGTTGAGGTTTTTTTCCAAACTTGAAGTGTGGTTACTACGTCTTTGGGATATTCAAATACCAAGATTTGCTAAGTAGTCTTTGACGTTTTGAATTACTTTTTCTCTTCAAACCCAATGAATTTTTTGTACCTACATTGGATTATTGATGTAGTTGACAACTGGTTTAAAAATTTCAGTTCTAATTTTGGAATCGATAACAGAACAAACAATTATTGAATAGAAATATTGAAACTGTAGTCATGAACTTATAATTTTCAGATATTATGCGAGTTGTGCCCAAAGAGAAGGAAATTTTCCATCTCCAGGAACTGCGAAAAAAGTCATATCAAAAGTTAGAATCAAACAAAAGATTGCTTTATTGAAATCTAATCAGAGATTTTATGTTGAGAGAGATCCCATTAAGGAACAAAAGCAGGTTCTTATAAATACCATTCCAATGTTTTTGCAAACGGACAGTTCTCAAATTCACTACAACTTTTTAGTCCAAAAATGTTCAGCTGGGTTGAATCTTCCTATTTCTGAAGAAAAAAATGTAGACTTCAATTTCACTTTCACTAGAAATATAGTGAACCTAAAATACAGAGAGTTTGTCTGTAACAAGTTTCTCAGTTTCAAAGACATTTTGGAACTGAACATACCTGTACTCAAGCGAATTGTCAAAGTAAATTTTGAAAATGCCTGTACTTCAAAAATGGACACAGACTGGGTAACAAAGTTGGTTTTATTAAAAGCTACCTTCGGTGAAATTTATATAAATAGTGATTCTCTATGTTTAGTAAGTCGAAAACGAAAATATTTACAAATTGAGATACCTAAATTTTCTGATGAAGTGGCACTAGACACCCAATTGAAACCTAGCGATCAGAAACTAGCATACATGGGGGACAATCCTGTTATCGTTTATGAAGAGAAAGATGGCGAAGTAGATGTACAAATTGTCTCATCCAGTATTCCAACAGAATACAACTTGAAAAAGAAATATGCAAAGAAGAAGTCAGAAACAGACAGAGTAGCGATTCGTATTCAAATTATATTGAATCAAATAAATGAGAAAAAAGTCATAGAGGATATTTTCCGTTTGACAAAAATAATTATTGATGAAGAAATGAAAGATGGTAAGTTAATTTTAGATAATTATTTAGTTTCAGTAGAAAGGAACAATATGTTTCCATGCTTAATTGTCAGATAAATAAATGTAATGTGTAATATATACAGACCGGTTGTTTTAGATAATCCCACTTTTGATATCTCGGAAGTGGTAAGACCTACAAGGTCGGTTAAATTGGACAAAGGTTCAGAATTCCTCGCGAATCATACGCCACCTAAGAAAAACTGGGTTTGCCAACTTCCAACATGCGATCCACGCAGGCTATATTTTACTCACTTCGGATAATATGTTTTTCAAAAATAAAACAGCCCTCATAAAACACCTCTCTTTTCAGTTTACCACACGAATATCTTCAAAATCCGGAATAGAGTTCAAAACTGATTTGTGAAACTTCCGAAACATTTGATAGACTTTATCATAAAGTATATCTATAATTGATATGGATATTCCCTTATACAAAAACAATTCATGATTTTACCTTTTATTTTCACACAAATACCAACTTTATGAAAGAAATTCAAGTTAATCGATTATCTAATACTTCAGACAAAGGCTTCGAGAATTCAGCACACCTTTTGAACGGATTAGTTGGATTGTTGGTTTCTGTTAATCCATGCAGTATCACTCTAGGTCTGTTTTTCAAATAGTATGAATAATATGAAGTTGGCATTGATGAATAAAGCGGATACTTCTCGTAGAGGTCTGGATGCTTTGTGTATGATCTGTCATCTGGTTGGAAGCCTTGTATATTGTACTTTTCATCATACTCAGTACAGTACTCTTCTACAGATTTTGGTGCATTTTGTTCTTGAAGAACTTCCGCAACTGCTTCTTCCTCAAATTGTTTAAGAAGTATTGCTTTTCTGCTTCCAATCTCTGATCTTTCTTCACTTATGGGATATGTATAAGCTGCTTTCATTGTTGAGCATAATCGTTCTGGTACATTTTTATAAGATCCATCCCTTATGAGCCACTTTCTACTATCCCCCTTATATTTTTCAAACCACTGTTGTTCTATCAGACTGTCATCATCTTTAATGTCTTGTTTTTCACACTTATCCTGTCTTTCCTTCATTTCATAGATTGTAATTTCGAAATTTTTCACGTCAATTTAAATGTTATCTTGTTGCCTAGGGATAATAAAACGTTTATTGATTTCAATTTCTTTGAAGTATTGACTTTTAATTAAAATGTATGCTGGGGTAATTTGTATTCGTTCATAAAATGTAATTACTTTTTTAAAATGTAATAGTTATAATAATATTTAAAAGACAAGAACTCGCGGGCATAAAACTCAAACCGCGGACACGTATGTCATAAGTGATTTTGCAATATTTTCAGTCACAAGAAAATACGAGGTTGGTGTTACTAGTTCGGACTGCCATTGTCTACTATATGAAATGATTTGAAATCCCTGAAACAACTAAAAAAAAAGGAAGAATTATTATATTAAGCAAAATAAACCTGAAATGAAATAATAGTGAAATAAAATACAAGTAAAAATAGAACAATTGAACAAGAATAAATAAAAATAAGGAAATGAAAAAAAAAAAATAAAAATAAAAAGTTGAGACAATCCAAGTCACGTTAGTTCACGACGTTTCGATTGTTAGTATCTACAATCGTCTTCGGGTGATGACTGACATTTCAGGTTTATTTTGCTTAATATAATTGTTATTTTCACCTATTCATTTTTATTTCTTCCTTTTTTAGTTGTCTCAGGGATTTCAAATCATTTTATATAGTGGACAATGGAAGTCCGAACTAGTGAAATTCATCATGAAACATTGTCAATCACCTTCAAACATACCACTGATGAGATCTAAAGCAGATCGAAACAGCATTCTCTGGTATTGATCATGAATGTAACACTTTTGGGATCTGATATTAATTAGTTTCCTTTTTTGCAATGAATGCTGAAGAGAAAGAAACCGTTTTTTTTTGGCGATGTCGAAGTTTTCTTCGTAACCGACCGCTGTTGAGGGTCTCGTTTGTCTTTGATCAACAAGCTTTGACTTTTCTGTTATTTCCATAGATAGCGTCTTTCTGGAAAGACTGGTGCAAACTTCTTGATAGTACCTATCTAAGTTAAAATCAGTTTTTTTTTAAATCTGATGTTATCTACTCTTGACCGATAACTAAATGAACTTCAAACTTTCACTTTAGCATCTAGTGAGTTAATAAATTTTGTGACAGAGGCTCATTTATTGAAAAAATATGACAGAACTGACCGATGAACTGACTTCATAAAAATCTTCACTTCAATGTGAAATTTCTAGTGGGAATCCCACATTAAAGTGTGTTTTGAATAGCTTATTTACTGATAATATGCAAAATACATTTTTGAGTGAAATTTTTAGGTTACCAAAAAAAGATAGACAGGAAATCGTTGGCAAGGATTTTGAAAATACTTATGCTAGAAGGATACATAAAAATATATAAAGTTACTATAAGTAATAATATTTTAACAAGAACAATTGTTTTCATATGTCATCCTTCAATCAGTCATACAGATGATTTAATACAAACATCGGTTCAGCAGTTGAAATGGAGACATTTTATTGGATCTGCTAAGAAAAATTCGAGAACTAACATAAGAGTCGTTCAAAAGAAGGTGGAGGAGACAATGAAAAGTAAAGTTCATCAGTCACCTTTCAGCGAAACGGATGTAATGAACAGTATCAATGAGTTGAAAAAAGTTGAAAAACACAAATTTAAAGAACCGATCAGAAAAGTTTCAAGGCGGATAACAGGATTATATGGATTCAAGCCAAAATTTGTAAGGATGAAAATAATGCACGAGTTTATGTTCTATTTAATATATGAGTATAAAACTGCTGTTGAACCACTGAATACCAAAGAAGTGAAAGATCTATTCAAAAGTTATCACATTGAACTCTCAGAAGAAGATTTGGAACAACTGCCAAAAATATACTCTAAGGAAATAAGTTGGAAAATGTTCATACCTACGTTACCCCTTCATGAAGGATGGGATGATGGATGGGCATTCATGTGCGACATTATCTTGAGGATTCCCGTTTCGGTTCTTTGTAAAGTGCATGCTTGTTTTCATGAATCGGCTGATCTATTACAAATTCTCCACCATCCGATCAAAAGGTGAGTTGTATTTAGCGATTATTTCTAGTGTTCTATTGAATGAAAACTAACTAATCTATGCTCCTCCATTTATATATTAGATTATTACTATTGAACATTATTTTCAGCACCAAACCAAAACTCTTGAAAATTTCACTGAAATCTAGAGAAGTTTGCTGAAAACATCACTTATTGAGTTGTACTCTGAAGTTGAATGCATCCAATGTATTACACAGTATTTTTTTTTCTACTGATTTAGTGGAAAAGTCCACATTGAAATCCCCTAATACCACTACCTTTTTAAATTTTTGGATTGTAAATTCAGCGAGAGAGTCAAATGAAGATATGAAATACAGAAAATTTCCCTTACCTGACCGATATACGCATACTACCAGAATATTTAATATAGTTATTGCAGCAAACTCTGCATCAACTTCAGTGCAATATCTATTTATATCCACAGCATTCGTTATAATATCATTTCGAGCAAATATTGCCACTCCGCCATGCTTAAGCTTATATGTGCAAAAGGAACTTACCAAGTTGTAATTAATGATGTTGATATTAGAGAATAAATCACTTGTCAACCAAGTTTCACATATACAGACTAAATGATATGGTTTTTCCTGGCATACAATATTTAATTCATCAATTTTATCAGCTAAAGATTGAGCATTTATATAGAAAATTGATAATTCCTGATTTTGTTCATATGGCACTATATCAATTTGATGTTCGTTGGTTGATATCCTTGCATTAATATTCAAGTGTGTGATACAGGAATGAGCCTCAGATAATGAGTATTCCTCATTTTCTATAAAAAAGAGTTAGGCCTCTGAAATTCATGTTGAGACTTAGATTGATGTTGAATCTTGCGAACTAAAAATGTGTTGAATCTTTTATTATTGGTTTCTGAAATATATCACTTCTTTCTGGAACTTATATGAACTTTGAATTAGGAGAAATAACTCCATCTACAGTTTGAGGTTGATACCAGCAAATTTTTTGTAAACTGAATCATTCACGAGTAAACACCGTGAAACTCGAAATGGAGACTGGATTTTGAGATTTTGAAAGTGGTATTAAATTGGAAAACCCCACTGTGAATATTGGAGGATTGTAATATCCATACATCCAGTTATTTGGTAAAGGTTTTGAAAATGAGCTGCATTGATAAAAATAATTGATACTGATAATTTTACTAATTTATTTTGTGTTACGAATATATTACTGTTTTTGTAGATTCTATCTAGTGAAAGATCTGCCACAAAAGGTCCGGAATGTATTACTTAACAAAAGAAAATATCTGTACAGTGTTCATGAATGTATATTGAAGCTCAGTCAATGTGGTCTACTTCAGTTTGGACCAAGAAAACATACAGAAAAGGATCAACTTTTCATTCATTTGAATCGGCGAGCATCCATTTTGAATACAACTAGTAGTGAACCAGCATACCATAAAATTGAGAATAAGGATTATCCCCAGATTGCTTTCTTTTTTAACTCTCAAACTGATGTGAACGATTACTGGTATAATTTGAATACCATATGTGAGTATTACAATCAACACATAAACAACTTAAAATCTATATAAATGTAACCCGTGTAGTTTACAAAAACATCGATTTTTCCTTTTTCTAATGCAGGTGTCAATACCAAATTGAATGCAAGGAAAGTTGGAGAGCTTGTTACGGTGATTGACTCTTCTATCAAACCAGAATTGGCGAAATGTGCCATTTCTAAAACACCCGAGGAAGCCAAAAGGTACTTTTTCCAATAATGTATACAACATAATTAAATAATAATTTTTGACTTTTTTACCGAACTTATATATGGCATCTCTGTAGGAGAAGTCTTCATAATCAATTCATTTACAGGTATTTTTCTTTCTCTCTGGACCCTTTTCAGTTTTAATTTTAATCGAGGAATTTCTACTTTTATTATTGATCTCATTCAGAATAATACTATAATATTTGTGGATTGAGTCTTCTGTCAATCCGTTAGATGGCCTTTTCATAAGGGGAGATATCATTGTAATCATAAGATTACAAAAATTATAGTTATTTTTGTTGGCCATAGTTATCCATTTTAGTTGAAAAATCTTTCGCAAAATAGTTCTTTTGAGACTAGTAATATATGTATCTACAGAAATTCAGATCATAATTCCATTGTATTCTGAAAAGTATATTTTTTGTCTAATTTAACCAAAACCGTATCTTCTACAATTACTGAGATAGCACTAGTGAGCAGTTGAAGTTTCGCCACAAGATATACTATGTTATCGTAGTTGAACCAACAACCTTAGTTTCCGATAATTTCCGATAGTTTCCGATATTCCGATAATTTTTACGAAAAGGAAATCTGGAACTGATATCATTTCAAATTTTTTCCTAGTTGGCTCATCTGAAAATAAAAAAATTATTTCATCAGGGTCAGAAGCAGCGTAGTTGGATATTAATTTTAACTTAATATTCATTTTTTCAAGATGTTGCATGTTAGCAGGAGTATTTACCGAATTTCTACCTTTTCTGAAAATTTTCAAAACTCTTTTTGTTGATCCTGTTATAAACAAGTTATCGAAATAGAAGTCATCAGCTTTTCAAATAGCCAAAAGGATTCTATTGCCTTAACCTTGGTTTGTTTCGAGTTTCACAATACTTTTTTAAAATGCATCTTTTATGTTTTATTGTAGAGTCATTTTCACGAGACAGCCTAGGAGCATATGGTTTCAATATTATAACCTTCTCGTAAGTGTGTGACAATAAAACAATTCTAAAAAAATAATGCAGTGTTTTCCTAAAGCTACTTTATGTTCTCAAAACTCTGTAAAAAGGCGCCTTCAACAAATCGACAAGAACATTTTCAAAATCTCCGAAACAAATTTAATTTTTCTTGGGGTCCATCAAATTACATTTCTCTCACTAGAATCTATTGCATCTTATCATAATTGACATTTCCTGGTTATACTAAATACATACATTACCAGTTCATGAAGGCAATGTCTGAATTCTTTATCCGTCAACAAGAGTAATCCTGAGCATGAAGTGGGCATGACAATTTCTCTTATAAAAACAACATCTTTCTCTTATAAAAACAACATCTATGGGAATCGTCCCGAAAACTCTAACTTTGCTTGTCATCAATAAACGAGAGTTCCAGTGGTAGAACGACTCTGTTAAAAAAAATAAGGTGAATGTTCAAATTTCGCGGGCTACCTACATTCGATTAGCGATTTTTAATTTTTTCATATTGTTACTCTTGCCTCGAACATATGTTCACAGTTTCAGATGTTTAGCATGTTTAGTTTGTTGGTGAGAGGCATAAAAGTTAGAAGTGTTCAGCGTGTTTGAAGATTTTCTGCTATAAAAAAATGGATCAAAGATTTTGAAAGCCGTGGATTTTTGGAATTTCTTCCTGACGTTTCGCTTGTGCGAGTGGCTAGCTTCTTCAGAGGGTTAACCATTATGCCTTGCTGTCAGATGACTACCTTTTAGGCTTTGTAAAGCGTATTTATGCCTTGTCAGGTAATCAGTTGAATTTGTTCCTGTATTTATACCTGTATTTGTATCTGTACTTGTACCTGCACTTGTACCTGGAACATTAACAATATTGCTGCCTGTTGTCATGTGCCTGTGTCATGTTATTCTAGAATTCCTTAAAATGGGGTTCCATATTCGATTGAGGTTTCAAACAAAATTAAAATTATTTTGTTTGAAAACACAGAACTAATTGCCCCCAACCAGGGATACCATAACCGACTGGTACGGGAGGCAATAGAGATCCACAAACACACGGAGAATTTCAACAGAAAAGAAGAAGCGGTGAACCTCAATCGAATATGCGCTTTACGAAGCCTAAAAGGTAGTAATCGAACAGCAAGCCATGATGGTTGAACCTCTGAAGAAGCTAGCCACTCGCGCCAGCGAAACATCAGGAAGAAATTCCAAAAATCCACGGCTTTCAATGACGGCAAAGAAATGACACTGAAAACCTCAGTCGTGAAAGTCTAAACCATTTTGTCATGGATCAAAGAATTTGCCTCAAATTTTGTGTAAAAAAATTGAATAGGGTTCTCAAAACACTTAAAATGTTGACAGTAGCATACGGTGATTGTACTCTGAGCCAGAAAAATGTTTACAAGTGGTATAAGCTTTTCACATAAGGTCGAGAAGATGTAAATGATAACGCTCGCCCTGGACGCACCAGCACATCATCAACTGATGAAAATGTAAAAGTAAAAAAAATTGTTATAGAGAATCGTCGAATCACTATTAGAGAAGTTGCTGAGAATGTCGGCATATCGGTTGGCTCAGGCCATGCAATTTTTCCGGAAATTTTGGGAAGAAGTACATCAGGAGTTCTTGCCACATTGTCGTATGGTCAATAAGGAGTTTTATCTTGAAGTTATGCGCCACTTGCTAGATGCAATACGAAGAAAACGACCGGTATTGTGGAAAAACAATACACAGCTTTTGCATCACGATAATGCATCTGCTCACTCGTCATTGCTTTTTCGTAATTTTTTGGCCAAAAGCAACACCGTAATCATGCCTCAGCCATGATTGAGGAGATGGAAACCGAATCGCTGCAAGAGCTCAAGGACATACAAAAAAGTGCATATTAGAACTGTTTTGAGGATTGGAAAAAAACGCTGGCACAAGTGTATTATATCTGAAGGGGGACTACTTTGTTGGGGACAAAATAGAAATTGATGAATAAATAAATATTTTTTGAGAAAAATAAAAATTTAACTTATTTTATGAACAGACCTCGTGAGTTGTCGCCGAATGAGGAATCGCTTTGTATCTCTGTAGCTTTCATTGCAAATAGGCAACTAGAGATGTAAGATCCCATGAGCATTGCATTCATGTCCCATTACCAGACAATGTTTGTCAATCCTGATAGAATACTTTGCTATTGAAATATTTACGTTTTAGGGATGACAATGGAGATATTCCTGGAGATAAACGTGGAGCTGCTGGTTTAGATTCTTCCTTATATTCGCATTTGGTTCGAAACTGGTTTTGGGCAAGCCGTAAAAAAGGAGATGTTAATCCTGAAGGATTGAAGGAGGAGCGATTGAAAAAAGTAAGGATATTTCAGTCTTCAGGTGACTCTAGTGTGAGTAAACTGTTACTAATGAGACCCTTAATAATATAAAGGAAATCAGAGCCACTGTAAATTGCTCACGAAGGATAATATAAAGGAAATGAGTCACTGATCTTCCTAAAAACTTGAGTAAATGCTGGTAAATAATAATACTATATTGAATATTGAGTACATTTAATCCCTTTAACCAAATCACAAACATCTTACAAGCTCAAAATGCCTTGGTGGTCAAAAAATTATTTTCATATTTGGGACAAATTATCTAAAAGAACATTTTGTTCAAGCCAGTCTCAAATTACCTACAATGTGGAATAATGGACTGACACCTATCAGAAAACAACTACTTCCCTGGCTAATACCACGAAGATCGTTGAATTATATCCGACATGTGTCAGTGCAGGATTCTTCACTGAAGATATTCCTGCACATGCTGTTGGAGATGCAACTGATGGAATCGATTTTCAATTAGTGAAACACACTTGCAGACCGGTTTTGGGCTGTTTGGCCATTCGACAGTGCAAAGTAGTGTCTATCATCAACATGAAGTCGATGGTTTCCCATAATTGAAAATCGAATTCCATTCAGAGTATCATTTCGCGCACCAGGCAGAAGCAAACGACAAACAACATGTTTGTCATCGCCCCATCTGCCTGTGAACGAGCTAACTAACCGCATATCCGAAATTTACCCAATTTCTCGTTTAACTCTTTCAGGGGCAAACATTTTTAGAAAAAGAAGGTCCTAGAGGGGCAATACCATTTTATTCACTTTCAAATCACAAAAAATGCATAACATAAACAGAACTTATAATCGAATTATGTTAGAATAGTTTTTTTGGATTAAGGTCTCTTGGTTTTATGGAAAAATGATGGTATATATTTTGTACTACTGCCCACTAAGGGATATCACTGTTTGTTATGGAAATCTTGAAAACATGATTTCTTCTTCCCTAAACAGAGTGGTACTTGACATACCGAACATATCCAATCTGTACGAATTTGTTTTCTTGATGTGCTGCAATGTGCACAACGACGTCTTGTAGCCCTTTCTGGTTGATGAACGCTCTCGGTTGTTCTTATTTCGAAAGGTACATATGGTTTCGACTTTTTGAATTCCTGGAATCAAAGATGGTCTTTTTCTATTGATGATATTTTTTGCCACAAGAGAAAACACTATTTGTCTTCTGAAGTTTTTCATTGATAGCTTCTCTAAGTCCAATTCCTAATACAAAACGAAAGCATTGACAACAGCCGCGTCTACTAAATAAGAGAAGATGCGATGCCACCATTTTTTCAATTTACTATCAATTTTATATATATATTGAGATTTTGATCGAATTTATCCACGTAATTCATATTTTTGTTGTAATCTATCAAAGCATTTGGACAAGACATTTGAACAATGCTTCCGTCCTTATTTTTTTGATCAACTTGGCCCATACTAGTAGGATTATGGATATTAGATAAAACATGAACACTTCGATTGTCTTGCCACTTTATGGCAACGAGGCTTGTATCAGATGTTGAAATCTGAGATTCGCCACGTTTCAAACGTTTATCAGGTTTGAAATTTGGAAGTAATCTTCTGCTTCGATTGACCGTGCCACAAGCGTGGATATTTTTGGTCTTGAGGTCTTCTAACAGCTGTACACTAGTAAAAAAATTGTCAAAATAGACAACGTGATGCTTTTCCTNAGGTGGTACGTTTTCTGAACCAGCGCCCCATTAAATGCAATATTTTCTGGGTACACTTTATGAATCAGACTGGCTGTAAATCAAATTATCTGAAACAAATTTTTCTTTTAGATAACTTGATGTATAGCCGATCTCCGAGTATGCCCACTCAATTTGTGAAGTTTTCTTCCTCAAACGAGAAATTTGACAAATTTCGGATATGCGGTTGGTTACGCCGTTCACAGGTAGATGGGGCGATGACAAACATGTTGTTTGTTGTTCGCTTCTGCCTAGTTCGAGGAATGATACTCTGAAAGGAATTCAATTTTCGATTATGGGAAATCGACTTCAGTTGCACCTTGCACTGACGAGTGGCCAAACAGTCCCATCTATGAGGGGCTGTTTGGCCTCATAGAAGGGTCATTTTTAGCGATTTATTATAAACTGGCTTTTCAATAGACCTTTACACTTTCCGAAAAAATAAAAATAAAATCAATATTACTCCTTAGTTATATAAGAAAGTAATTCATCAGGAAGTGACACCCAATTTTTTCCATTTTGAAGGCAAATCGATGTTTCAGAAATGACTGTGACTACCATTGACACTTACCCTCCTTTCGAACCACGTTCCAAAATGTATATGATTTTTGTAAAGCAAAGAAAATACATGAGTGAATATACAACATAACTATTCAATTATTACATTTCAATCAAATATCTTTTTTATCAAATTCCAACTATAAAGTCTTTGTTTCATAATATGTTTCTCAATTTCGGAACTAACCATGTAATCGATCTCAAAAACAATGGCAATGTCGCACGCGTGGTAAGAACAACAAGAATACAGACATAATAGACAAAAAAGAGACCGAACAAATTGAACTTTTGTAAAGACCCTGAAAATGTCATTATAAATGAAATGTCAAAAGTCATAAATATAGGCAACAGGAAACAATCCGGTAACTTTTGATTATTGCACTCATGCACTTATGTATCATTCTGATGTCTTGAGAAGGACAACTTGTAAATAGCTCTATTCTACTACACACATCTGCTAGGTAACACTGTGACTGAGCAGATGTTCTGTTTGTTCATCACAAGAATGGTGTTGCGTTTTTGTAAAATCGTTTAGTGAAAATCTCACAATAAAGTGTTTTTTGAATACATTAGTTATGGATTTTCATCAAGTATCGGCCAATTCCATCATATATAAGAAGCTGGTTATCTCTGTGATCTGGGTTTACATCATCTATACATCAATCAAACTTCAGCATTCTAGAGAAGTAATTTTTCATGTGGCAGCAATTTCCATAGGAACTAGTGAATAAATATAGAGAAACAATAATCAAAGGATGTACCTTTCCACTGATATTGGAATAACGGCATAGGTGAAAGCAACATGTATATTAGTACCTCGTTTTATAGATTTTACAATTTTTTTCAGTAGTTTTTTCATAATCGAATAAAAATGATAGTCGTGACGTCATTAACATTTGATATGAATTTGGCAACGCTGTAGAACTCATTCTAATTGCATAATTATATTTTCTTCTTCTTCCTGTATACCAGACAAAGTATACATCTCAGTTTGCATTAATGGGGAATGCAAGTTGGATTTTTGTTCATGCTCTTCTGGCAGTAACTGTACAGAAAAGCTCTAGCACATTTTTTTGCGAAAACATTGTAGTATTTTTTGCGAAAGTTACTCGGTGTATGAAATATAGTGAAGAAACTGTTGACATTTCCAAATACTCGAAATGTTGTTTGCAGGAATTTGTGTAATGTAGTTTCAACATAGTATGAATTGTTCTCTTTTTTGTGTTTCAAAAATATATTTAACATCTGTTTGAAATCTGTCTTTCCATTAACCAGCTGTCACGCCCTACCAACAACAAACCTCAAAAGTCGAAACTTGTTCGAGCTGTTGATTAACAAGGTGAACGTGAAATTCCCAGCACGGATCAGGAATAGGTTCATGTTTTAGTTTTACATGAATATATTCTTGATAACTCTGACATCTACTAAATACTATGATATGAACCCAGTTTTTCCCATATTCACTTAAAGTTTCTTTTCCTAACATTATCTGGATATCTTGTTTGCATCATTATAATCTTTCCGAAAGAGCCAGCCATTATCACGGATGTGTCATCAGCAAATTGAAAGGCTAGTCCTGAATCAGCGCTCCCGGAAGATCATTGACATAAAGTAGAAACACACACTGTTTCATGATAAACTCCTGTGGTACTCTAAGAAATTTTATTCAATTCAGAATAAACCAGATTATCTTGTTGTGAAAAGCTTACGATTTGCGAGCGTCCTGAATGTATCACCTAATGAGATCATTACCTTTTCTTATCATCTCATATTTTTCCACATTACTCAAAACGATATTATGATTTCCTTATTAATCAGTGGGCTATGCTTGAAGACTGGCAGTAAACAAATCTAAAGAAATAAACATTAAACGTTCAAGCCAGTCTCGGATATACCTACACAGTAGGTTGAATGGACTGACGCCTATCAGAAAACAATTACTCCCCTGGCTAACACCACGAAGGGCGTTGGATTATATCCGACAGGCGTCAGTGCAGGAATCTTAACAGAAAATTTCCTGCATATGCAATAGGCAATACAACTGAAAGAGTCGACTGTCAATTTTGGTACGGGCACACTTGCAGACCGGTTTCGGGCTCATTAGCCACTCGTCAGTGCAAGATAGTGGCCATCATCGACCTAAAGTCAATGATATTCCATAGTTGAAAATCGGAATTTTTTCAGAGTATTTCATTCCTCTTCCTAAGTTGGAGCGAACAACAAAATGTCACTCCATCTAGTGGACGAGGTACTAACCAATTGCATATCCGAAATTTGCCTGATTCCTCTGAAAACATGTTTTTTGATAGGCGTCAGTCCATATCCGAGACTGGCTTGAACGTTAAAAGTTCATTTCTTTAGATTTGTTTACTGCCAGTCTTTAAGCATAGCCCATTGACTAATAAGAAAGTTTTTCTTCCTCGTTCAGAGAAATCGGGCAAATTTTGGATATGCAGTTGGTTAGTACCTCGTTCAACTTAGGAAGAGGAATGAAATACTCTGAAAGAATTCCGATTTTCAATTATGGAATATCATTGATTTTAGGTCGATGATGATCACTATCTTTCACTAATGAGTGGCTAATGAGCCGGTCTTCAAGTGTACCCGTTCCAAAATTGAAGGTCGACTCTTTCAGTTATATTGCCAATTGCATATGCAGGAAATTTTCTGTGAAGATTACTGCACTGACCCCTGTCAGATATAATCCAACGCCCTTCGTGATATTAGCCAGGGGAGTAGTTGTTTTCTGATAGGCGTAAGTTCATTCAACTTACTGTGTAAGTATATCCGAGATTGGCTTGAACGCTCAAAGTTCATTTCTTTAGATTTATTATGATTTACCTTTATTTTTTTGTTTAGCGAATCAGATATGTTGTACTGACATATTTGCAGTTATAGTTTTGAACTGACAACATTTCAGTTATTCATTTTATATTTTACAGATTTTACCTGAAATAAAGCCTTTCAAGAATTTAGGTTCGTCAAGTAAGAGCAGGAAGGTGTTTCTCCATAAAACAGTAAATGTGAACAGTAATCCAAAGATAGGAAAGAAATTGATACAAATACCAGTAAGATCATCATCTAAAAAATATACTAGAAAAATTACAGAACATCCTAAGAAACTAAAAAAATGTGAATATTACGATAAGCTGGACCGAACAATTTTGAAAAGAATCGGGCGTAACCGAAGAGTGCAATGGTCTCCTAAAGAAGATACACTTTTGATGTTGTGCAGAGCTGGTGATTTATTTTTGTATGGTGAGAGATACAAAAAAAAAGTGGTTTCTTACCAAGTTATCAGAGATGTCCTCCATAGTGCCTCCCGTGAAAGCCATAACAAAACATCCAGGTAGTATATTTTGAAATTTTAGCTGTAACATTGACAGATTACTATAACTATGGAAACTTCATACCTATTAGCAACTAATGTTAATGTGCCATTGTATGCAGTTGATGGGTAAAGAACTACAACCGAAATATTTTATGTCAATTTTGCATAAAGAACTACTCTTTTGTGAATATTATAATTTGTTTGTTCAATGGAAAAATCGTTTTGGTCAAATTTGCAATATTTTCACTTAGTACTGATGTTTTTTGATCAACAGTATTTGTTTCCTATACTTACCTATCAAAGTGATCAGTGGAAAATATATTTTTGTGAAATGGTTCCAAAAATTATTGCAAATATTTGGTTATATATGATATCTATAATTGAACTTGTGTCTATATTCTGCTTAGATTGCAAATGAAACATGTATTCTGGGGTTTAGAGTGTTCAAGAGGACGTTATTTTGCATTGAGATATAATAAATCTGGTTTTGGTTAAGATGGAAAAAATGTCCAGGTTTTTCGAAGCTTTTCGAACTGGTTTTACTAATGTTTGATCTCTGAAAACATAAAAAAAATATTGAATAATCATTTCAAATGTAATGGTAAGTGGTGTACTTAATTCATAAAAAAATCGTGGATTCACACTCAACTTCCATCAGTAAATTTTCTCGCGAGTATTTTTCCAGTTGAGATTTGGTTGAGTCCTTTGAAAACACTTTCCTCACCAGAACAAAAATACTGTCACTCGACGAGCCTTTTACTAACCAAGTCGGCATCATCGGGAAATTATTATGACTACCTATCAAGTTGGTTGAGTTACTTACATAGCTGACATGACTGCGAATAACCAAGATGCTCCTTAAGTGACTAGGGGAGTTATTAACTTAGACTACACAGGACTCGAGACAAATGAACTAAGCTGTTGATGACACTGAAAAATAAACCCTCATAAGCCGAAACTTGTCGAGCTGAGGATTAACGAGGTCATACCTTTTAACGTCTGATTATTGCAAAGATTATAGCAAAAACGTGTTTTAAATAATATTTATTGTAAAAAGTCTATAATTATCATGGATTGTGTTATCAATTTTCATCAGGTAATGGGTCAATTTATTGGAGTAAACAAACATCAGAGAAACTGTTAAGATTCATATCTAAATATAGTTGTAGTAATCTCTCAGGATATTGTTTTCTTCCAGTTATGATGTGGCGACGTTAACACATGACAATTATACAGCAATGTTGAACCATAATTATAACATTTCAGATCTATTCAACGGCGATTAAAAAAACACACAACATACCCTTTTAATCAAATAGAAAAGAATCTTCATAATCTCCACCAACTACAACCGATATCTGACTATTTTTCACTGTTAGCAAATTATATATCTTCAGAAACTGATGAAACAGGTGCACCTTTCAAATTGACAGATGCACAAATTCACACAGCCTACGTCATCCTAATGTCAGTTATATTGAAACATAAGAAGGAAGTATTTGATGTTTTACAGGGTGGGTACTATAAAATACATTAATCAATGAAATGTTTCCTAATTGTTTATTGTTGCAGGTAATACTATCAAAGTAGATTATTTATCAAAACAAAACTTGGACTATACCGAAAAGGAATCTGTTGAAATCGATAAGACATCTCTCAAATTTGAGGATCCCAAAAATGAAGATGACATTAAGAAAAATGTTTTGAAGTCGGTAATACATAGTTCATTGACTTCCAAAGATAAGACAAGTGAGTAAACTGAATTTCCGCTTTTAGAGAACATTCATTTATTATTTTATAGTGACTACTATTTAGTCAAAGAAATGCAATAAAAACTATTCAAAAACTGTTTTCAATTGACCAAAATTTCTTCCTTAAATAGTTTATATGATCTTCTTGAATTGGTCTAGATAGCTAGAACATTTGGAACCTATACCTCAATTATATTTATTATTTATATTAGTTATATCGCTTTCTTGTTCACTTTGATATTAACCATATCACTTTTTATTCAAAACTTCATCATTCTCTTCAGCTGTGTCAAGAGAGAAGGTTTACTTTCTAGACAATAAAGTATATTTATCATTTTATTATTATTATTTATGTTAGGTATTTCAAGTAGGAAACTGAAAGGTGTCTATACTTTGTAAAGGTTATGGAGAACTTTAACGAGACAAGCGAAAAATATGTCAAAGAAGACCGTTCAAAAACATATCAAGAAAATTCATTAAAATGAAATGATATTTCAAAAATACATTGACCTGAATATTTTAAACATCTGTTTACATAACTTCAAGGCTGAGACTTCAAGATTTAACCTTCGTCCTCACAGTCAACACATATACCAGTGATGATGTGTGTCTTAGAATAGAATAGAATTTATTTATTCATCACTGAAGAATTTACATATACATACAAGAGAATACATAATTTATATCACGATTTATATTTTTTGTTGTGAATACCATAAAGAATGTTTTTTGTAGGTTAACTAATAGTCCATTAAACGAGCACCATTTATGAAAGTCATTGCCACAAATGCTTGCTCTGGTAACAGCATTTTTTAATTCATTATCTGATATGAGAATATTAGTGTCATCAGCATACATGACAATTTTTCTAGCATTGGGACATGAGTACACCATATCATTGATAAAAATTATAAAGAGAACAGGTCCCAAGATTGATACTTGAGGTGCACCAGTATTTACAATTTTTTCTGTTGATCTATTTTCACCTAATACTACAATTTGTTGCCTCTTTCTGAGATAAGATGCAAGCCATTCATTTGCGACTCCTCGTACACCAATCCGATACAGCTTATCCAATTGAAGATAATGGTCAACTGTATTGAATGCTCTAGTCAGGTCAAGTAAAGTGCGATGGGATTGTGTTTGTCGTTGAGAGAGTCATATATGTTTGTACAAAAATCGCTTATTGCGGTTAATGTTGATTTGTTTTATCTGAAATCGTTTTGACAGGTAAATAATATTTTGTGGTGATTTAAAAATTTGTTGATACGATTATTATATGCCATGTCAATTATTTTTGCTATTTGACTCTGTAAGCAAACATTACGGTATTTTGTAACATCATCTTTTAATCCCTTATTTTTGAAAATTGGTATCGACTTTACCTTAAGGACCTTAAGGATCGATGGGTACTGCGCCGAAGTGAATGATTCATTTATTATATGAGCCAATGGTAAACTTATTATCTCTTTAACATGACACACAGCTTTCCCACATATATCATCTATTCCAGAAGCCAACTTCTTAGTTGTCTTCATTATATATTCTTCAATCTCTTGACTGGTGGTAGGAGAAAAAAATAAACTGTGTTCATAATAAGGAGATAGTTTCAATTTATCAACTTGTGGTTTTGGACAAGGTATATCCATGAAAAAGTCACTTAGAGCATTACAGATTTCCCTTTGGTTCAATATTATTCTGTTGTTTATAATAAGTTGTTTCACTATGTTATTTGTTGCCTTATTTTTCGACTCATTGATTATTTTCCAGCTCTCTCTCATTAAATTCGGTGCTCGTTGTAGTATGTCGTTGTTATAAGTAAGTTTATTTTCTTTCTGAAGAAAAGAGAAATTAAACTTTCTATGTTTTTTACAACTTTTATTTGTAACTAACGTTACTGCAGTTTCGTCCTATACGGACATTTTCAAACTTATACAATAAACTAACTGCAGTAACGTTATCTACAAATAAAAGTGGTAAAAAACATAGAAAGTTTAATTTCTCTTTTCTTCATTATGATTTCCTACCACGTAGTAGCGGCTACATCCATCAATTTATTATTTTCTTTCACTTTTTCATTGTAATAGTGCTTCAAGATCTTATACCTTGTATGTACTATATTGTTAGATGTATTCTTCACAATTTTTGACATCTCACATAGCATATTATGAAGCCCTTTCAATTCGGGAGAGTACCATGGTTTTTCATTTTCACTCAAATGGAATTTTCGCCAAGTGAAAGCGATGTTGTAGTGATATTTGAAGGTGGTGTAGAAGTTGTTGAATTTATCATCTATATTTGATGAATTAAATGTGTCTCCCCATGTTTCTTTCTGTAGTAAAGTTTCAAAAGTCATTAGATTATTTTTTGAAGTATCATGTTTGATACTTCAGAAAATACTTGTTTTTTGTAAAAGTATATAAAACTGGCATATTTGAAAAGTATGATCAGATATGTGATTTTCTTTATTATTTGTTGTTCAACGTCTAAATTTGTGAACATGACATCAATAGAAGTGGAGCTTTTGCTGGTATTTCTTGTTGCATGATTGATATGATTTACTATTCCGAAATCATTGAAAATATTGATTGTTTCTCTGGTATTCACAGAGTCAGTTAGGAACTACAAGTTTCATTCGATCATGGCCTACCAGCTCGGATGTTGCTTTCTCTAGCGCCATAACCCTTAAACATTAGGTCGATAGTTCATCGATGGCACCTCTTGATAGGTGGAATGTGAACCTCTGTCATAAGATGACAGAACAAAAATACTTGCTCGACACGCGTTTCGCGAGACACACGTGTTTCGACTCCTATGGAGTTGTTCCAGAAAATATTTGATTTTTGCTATCTGTGTGACCAGCGGGTGCATAACGGTTGGCTTATCTGGGCTCTCATACTTGCGATATACACCATCACGTAGGCCTAGAGAATTCCATCCCTGGGCATCATGCTTAGAAACTCTGACATCTCATCCATTCTCTATAGGTCCAGTTCTTTAGGATCTGATTTTATGGACGGGACATGTACTGCTTGTCAAATTTCTACTTTCTTTTAGATTACAGTCTTCAAATTACAGTAACCTTACTTCTTGCTGTCCATTCGTCATTTATGGATTTTGTATTATGTATTTGTATGTATGTAGGTGACTTGTGTTTTGACTCGGGTATCTTGCCTCAGATTTTGACGACCCATCATCTATCCTCTCAGCGATTTCATTTCTTGCACCCTCATTTTTTCTGTACCATTGGAACCATTTTTTTTATGAAGTGAGACCTTGGTGTTTTCCAGCAGAACATTCGTAGATGCCCTAGTTTTTTATAGTTCTCTCATAAGATACGCTGAACAGTTCGTAGTAACTTGTTGACTTTTTAGTTCAGAGTTAGTTCTTTGGACGAGGCCATCTTTCTCAATTGCATTTTTATTCTTTTACAAGCAGTTTTGGCAACCGCAAGCCCAACGTAGCTATCATGGCAGCTTTTATGGTAAAATGATATAGCCTTAGGACTTGTTGCATCTCAGTATCCTTGAAACCGTAAATAGAGACAGGTACTAAAATCTGAAGGCCAATTTGATAAGTCTTTTGATATCCACTCCATACACTGGTAAAATCTCCTGCGGTTGTTGAAATCGGCTTCTGTGTTGTCTCGTTTTTGTTGTCAGTGTCTGATCTCACATTGAGAGTAATAGTGCAATAGTTTCATTCTCTTTCGTCCAACCTTTGGTCTTGGCTGCTGCCTCGAACTGTTGAAGTTACCTATTCCTCGAGGCCATCAAAAGTTGGAGGTTTCAGGGTTCTAGGTAGGACTGTAGCCGGTGGAACTATCACCCACAAATCAGGTGTGGTCTTTCAATTTGTTCACCTATTTGTATAACCTGTTCGTCCAATTTATTTTTCATCCTGTCAATGTTTCTTTCATTATCTCACCTGTTTTTAACTCAACTTACTCTATCACCAAATTACAATTGTTTCAGTTATTTCACTTATCTACTATAGTTTGCCAACGCTTGTGACTTGTCTGAACTAACCTCTAGGCTGATTTCAGAAGCGACCCGTATAAGACATTATTGCATAATTATTTCTTGTGAAGTTGTTAAACGCCTCGCCAATTCATATGCGACTCATCGCATTCGCAACAATATTATTATTATTAATATTAATGAAGTAATATTCTCTTACAGGTGCTGGGTTGCAGTTACTTAAGGTTTATCAAAAATATCCTGATCAACTTATTCGAGAATCTGTAGAGGAATTGAAACAAACTAATACCATTTCTTGCAAAAAGTATAACGTGAAGAAGACCAATATTTGGCAGGCGCCATTTCATCTTTCTCAGTGTTATATCTTCTATCAATACACCACGTTCAACATTACTTCTGCCGTAGAGGCATATAAAACCTATTTAGCCCTGAGACATGAGTCACAAAATGAAATGTCTTTGAGTTTTTCAGAAGTAACTGTAAATACCAAGAGATACGGCCAATTGTTGGGGATGAATGAATTCAGAAGTTTTTGGAATAAATTACGCTATGAATTTGATTTACCTCAAAGTGTGATTATTTTAAATCCTTGCCTCAGCGACCACGAAGAAGTCATCCACGAGTTGGCAGTAAGATTTCAAGTGAAACTGAAGAAACTTCAAAAAGAGAACAAGGAAAGTGATCAAGATATGGAATCTGAATCTTTGAGGTAAATATTGGATTTGTCCATTTTGCTATACCCCTCAGGCTTCTGATACAATTCAAGTTTATGATGGGGTGCTTTGTTTCGAATGTACGGAGTGAAAAAGAATTTCGACAATAACAATTTATTATTAAAAGTTACATGTAATGTTAAGTAATCTAGAAGAACTGTTGAAAATGACTACCCCCCCACTCGGATGCAAGAATCCAGTCTTCTTCTTATCAACTCCCGAACTCTTTCAAAAACACCAGGATCATTTCTGATTGAGTTACACCCAGCAATTATCCGATTTCTCAAATCTTCCACTGGAGTGGTATAAACTAATGACTTTAGATTTTTTATTACTTGGTAGGTCCAGTGTAGTACGCTATACTTTTATTTCGGCTACGTTAATAATTTTAAAATTACCAAAATTGTTATTGTCGAAATTTTTTTCGCCCCGTATTTTCGAAACAAAGCGCCCTATCAAAAATCATCAAAGAACAAAATATCCTTAGAACAGTCCAATGAATGGTCCTTTAATTTTTTGCCGCATGTTTAATGAACACCTTAAATAAATATATAACCTCAAAAGGAGCTAGTTATTTCAGAATTGGTCCAATTGATAATTTTGACGTCCGAAGATGCTATTGTATAGCGAAACACATTAAGCGGTTTTGTAAACTAATAAGTGGAAATCTCATATTGAAGTGTTTTTTGGATGAGTTATAATGGATTTTCATCAAGTCGGTCAATTCTGTCATATTTTTTATGTATTTGATTGATTCATCATGGGACTTCTACAGTCATACTTACACAACTCACTAGTATTACTTGTTGCTATGCAAAGGTAGAATCACCATTCGTCAGCCGAAAGATCATCCATCTGTTTTCAATCGATCGTTACGAGAGTGATGAAAAATTATACGCATACTATTGCTATAGAATTTAGGATAGGCAAATGTGTTGGGATGGAGTAACACCACTCACAAGTGGTAACCTCATTGAGAAACTCCCTTCACGGCAACTCCAGACAGATCTGGTCAACATTACTATAGGGGAAAAATGAAGTTGTTGCAGCTGAAAATATGCTTGCTATTTTGATCTTAATTTACTTTTTCAGAGTAGTGAAGTAGACTCTACAGGAGCTACACCGACTCCATCTGAAACTCTAAAGAATAATCTACTTCATGTGAAGTAGATTTTTTTTCTGATTGATTCGGCCGTTACTTGATGAAGATCCATAGTAATTTCATAAACTACACCTCACACAGTAGCTTCTTCAACAGTGATTTGAATACTACAAGTTGCTTCTTAGGCTAATATTTATATACCACAGGTAACTACATCTATCAAATTACCTAAACCTCTACAATTCTTTTATACCTGAAGCATATTACCTCACTTCAATCAATCAATCAATCGATCAATCACTGTACTTTATTGTCTAAGAAAAAAATCTTATTGACAAAGCATATGAAAACAATACTATTACACAAAATAACATACACATATATACCTCTATCAAATTACCTAAACCTCTACAATTCTTTTATACCTGAGGTACCTCTTCAATTATGATAACCTGAAGCATATTACCTCACTTCTACATCAATAATAATACTTTCTCGGTTTTTTAAGAAAACAAGTTCAATAATGGTGATCTATTCATATCAAATTGGTCATTCATAAAAATGTTTGAATTTCTAAGTTTATTAATTTCCATTGCTTACAAACGATTCAGTTTCAAACCTTTATTATCTATGCGTGAAATTTCGAACCCAATATGATTTTCTTCTAAAAGATGATTTGAATACGAGAACTTGTTTTCTTATTTACATAGCTCATATGATGTTCCTGGATTCGATTTCTGAATGTTCTGCCAGTTTGGTCAATATATACCTTAGGACACGTTCCACACTTTAATTTATATACTCCTGATTTCTCGAATTTGGATGTTTTGTCTTTATTATTTTTAACTAACTTTTCCAATGTATTACTTGTTCTATGTGCAATTTTAATATCTCGTTTGCTCAAAAATGAAGCCACTTTTCCGTTGTTTGTCTAAAATACGTTAAAGCTCTATAATTTTGATTTTAAATATCTAACTCAGAGGTTCTCAAACTTATTTTGTCTACCGCCCACTTCGAGAATTAAGTATTTTCTAGCGCCCCCAATTTTTTTACTGTACTACATCTTAAGAATCCCTAACGCAGTCATTATTTTAATAATTAAATTATGTGTGTCATGTGAAAATAATACTTTCTGATGAGGGTAATTAATGTAAAACACCATTTTGTAATATTAGGAAAACTTTTATTCATGTTGATAAAACAAACATTTCAATTTGAATTTTGAAACTAATCTACCTAATGTGAAGGATAAATTTGGTGATCGTTGATCGATGGACCACAATTCAGGGTACAATTGCGGGATTGGCTTTTTTAGCCAAAATTCTTGGTATCCATTTTTGAATTTTATTTTTATTTCCTCGTTCGTTATCAGTTCTTCTTCCAGCTGGAGTGATCCTGCTGTGTTGACATTTGAAAAAGGATCCAACACCCAGTCCTGTGTTTCCAATTTTAAAATGTCCTGGAATCGTTCTGTGAAATCACTGTGGAGGTTCTCCAAATGTTGGCGGTAAACAAGCAAGTCGTTGTTGTTGAAGGATACTGCTGGCAAATTAGGGAAATTGTGAAACTCACGTCTGCCGCTATTATTCTTGTATAAGAGCAATTTGGCCACAAAAGCAGCAATGACATTTTTTTTAATCAAATTCTAGTCGTCACTTTGAAGTTGGAGATTGACATAAATCGAGTCAGACAGTTACATCTTGATAACCAATGCACTTTTGTGTGAAATAGTAATAGGTTGAAATCTTCATCATTAACAACACAATGCTGATTAAATAATCTGTCATTTAAAGAGCTGTTTCGGATTTTATTGACTGCTTTGATGATATATTGCCGTGATTGAGAGAGGCGCTCACTCAAATTTTTCGCAACCAAATGTTGCCTATGAATGATGCAATGTACAGCGAGCACATCTGGATTTTTTTTAAAGTATACTATGAAGCCTTTGTGATATCTTGTCATAGCCGGAGCGCCATCCGTAGCAGCTAATATATTATTATATATGGTTCCTCCTTTTGTATCCGTTTCTCATTTTTAATAAACTTCACGTATGACAACAACAATGCTTCATTGGTTGGTAAAGTGGACTCATCTAACTGAATTGAGCATTTAGAAGTTTTCAGATGATTGCACAATAACTCTTCAATGTTTTCAGCCCTCTCATCAATTCGTCTTTGCATGGAACTATTGCTCAAAATAATTTTTCGGATAATATCTGCTGCTGGTTTCTGGAGCACAGTAGTTATTACTTCATTTATTGCCGGTAAAATTCAATCCTCTCCAATAGTGTGAGGTTTACCTGTTTGAGCAATTAGCAAGGAGATATTGTAGGAAGCTCGGAGTCCGTCGTCGTCTTACTTAGAAGCTGCTGAAAAATGTTTTGACACAGTTGGCTGAGCTGAGTGTTTCTTTTTCAGTTCTTGAGAAAAAGTCACAATATTGTCTTTTTATCTAAATTCAACTTGTTTTCTAATATCGTCGAATGACATTACTGACTGAATGGCGCGCGCGCTTTTATATGAGGCAGCAGGCGGACCTAGTACTTTCGAGAATGAAGACTAAAAACTTCTCGCTCGTATTGGAGTTTACCGCCATCTATTGTACAGTTTGACAACTATTGGACAGAAAATAGTTTCTGTCTAGTACCCTAGATGACGTTACACGAGGAAACGCGCGTTAAGCGTAAAGGAGCGGTAAAGTGTGTGTTAAAAGCAAAAAAACATTTTTAAATTAGCCATCGCCCCCCTAAATCGCTTCAACGCCCCCAATCTTCTCTGTATCCTTTACTGCCCCCCTGTAGGCCTCCAGCGCCCACAAGGGGGCGTTATCGCCCACTTTGAGAAAGACTAATCTAACTTATCAATAGGAAAAACGTCTTGAATCGCTTTTGCATACACTTTTTTGGAAAGTATTTTGTTTATTAATTCGACTTGTTTACTGCAATTTGTTTGATGATATTAAGTGCTTTATTGAAATTATCTATTGAAAGAGGAACATTGATTAATCTGTGAATCATGCTATTATAAGCTGCTACTTTGTGTTGATATGGATGGATAGAATTGTAATGTAATTGAAAAATCATGTTTTTTGTTCATTCTACTAATTGTTGAGTCCAAGAAATTGACTGAGTTGTCTGCTTTTACTTCAATAGAGAATTTAATGTTTTCATGTATTTTGTTGATATCCCTATGAAAAGTATCTAATTGTTTCTTAGTACCTGTAAAACATAACAAAATGTCATCCACATCCAAGAAATTCTTAATCAAAGCATGTTTAACAATCGACTTCTCTAGGTTATTTATGAAAATTTTCGCAAGTAAGGGGCTTAACGGAATTCCCATAATTAAACTTTTTGAAGAGGAATAAATATTGTTGTTAAAAAAATAAAGTTTGTGGAGATCAAATCGTGAGGTGTTGTTTATGAAATTAACCTCTTTGATTATTCTTAATTTAATGTTATTATTTTTTTCTGTTTTTGACTGTATTTCCTCACTAATTTCTTTTATGTTTGATATGATAAATTTCTAACTTTCTGAACATGGTTGACAAAAGTAGTTGATTGATGATGATTATTTCTTTAGATAAAGTAAACAAATGTAGTTCGAGATTTATGTTTGATATCATGATAAATTTCTAACTTTCTGAACATGGTTGACAAAAGTAGTTGATTGATGATGATTATTTCTTTAGATAAAGTAAACAAATGTAGTTCGAGATATTCAAGAATTTTTTTTTTGTAATAATTAAGATTTCACGTTTCACAAATTAAAAAGGATACATTTTAAATATTTCAGAACAAAATTCAGTAATGATTCAAACCTAATTACCAATAAAGAAGGCAAACTTTCACCTGCAGAAAAAATAATGCACAACAGTGATATACAAAACACCCATCAGGATTTGGCAGATGATAATGAAAATACTGACGAAATTGATAGACTGAAAACGTGGGTAGCTAATTGTATGAAAGCTGAAATGGAACGAAGCCCTAGTCCAGAATTCATGGAGTGGGATGAAACACTTCACAGTAATGTTGCCACTGAAGAACCAGTTGTTACAGTTGATCATACTCTAGTTTCATCTGAACAAGACTTTGAAAATAACGATGCCAGTAAAGAATCGAGTATGATTGAAAAGAAAGTGCTGGATAGAGTCCCAACTCTAGAAGAGATTAAAGAAGGTGAGTTTGTTTTATTGATTGTGTGAAATGGTGGGAGTCTTGATAAATACAGATAAGCATAATTAAGGATTATCCCTTCCATTGTTAGAAATGAAGATTGTGGAATAGACTGGAATAGACATCTTATCAAATTACTTTATCCAATAGCCAGAATTACGAAAACACTTTTCTCAACACATGTTAGTTCAAGTACAATGATGGTCATTGATCAGTCAGTTAAAAAAATATGAATTGTCAGTTCTCTCAGTAGTAGTACTTCATATCTATTGAATAGGGTTTTCTCACACCAAAACAAGAATACTGTATCTTTCCTGATGATGCTAACTTGGTTAGTGAAACACTTTGTTCTGGCGTGAGAAAAGTGTCTTCAATAAATTCATTTTATGCCAGAGTTTCCAAATTCTACTAATAAAGTTTTCCAAATAATTGTTTCATTATATTTGTTCACATTATTTCAGAAATGTTGAGATTGGGATCCAGTGAAGACAGAAGAATTCCGTACATTACTGATCTTAGTGATTTGCTTAACAAAGAAAATTTTGGTGATATACCTACAGATGAAAAAACATTGAAGCGTCTGAAAAATCATTTTATTACTCAGTATGCTTCTTTGCAGAAAGTAATCGTAGAAGATTTAGAATATGTTCCAGAAAATATATTGAACATTATAGAAGATAAACTAAAAATCGAGAGAATTTGGAATAAAGTGGAGAAGTAAGTGATTCCTATTTTTTCATTCTAACAATACTAATGATTGGTCATAGAAGTTAAATTCAAATTTTACTTCTTATATAAACTGATGAAAACGTTAAATATCGTCAGTAAGTTTATTTTCAAAAAATACTAACAAATTTTGATTATATAATGAGAAAGTTGCAGGAATTGATGGAATCTTCACGAAAATTTTCGTATGTAAAATCACAGTCTGGATTTAAATTAATGAAATTCCAAAATGAAAGGTACATGATGTTATGGACCTATTTTCGTACAATTGGAGATTTCTCGATTCCTGAAAATTACAGGCGTACAACATGCGTGAATTCGAGTTTGAAGTATTTGACAGCATTTTGTATATACGAATACTCTCTGTAGTTGACTGATATATATGAGCACAGATGGTAAAGAGAGCAGAACCAGCTCATTGATAGATGCATAATGCAGGATTCAATACAGTTTAAGCGCAATCTCTCTAGGGCCTGGATTGATAACTGCAAGGAAAATAATATAACGCGTCATCTTCTAGATAGAAGCACCATTTTGATGCCGGAGAGACGTATATTTAACTCAAGGGGGAACAACGTTTTATCGACGAGTAGCATTTAACAGATTTTCTGAGTATATTGTAACCATAGCATCCAATCTTTTTTGTGTTTGTTTTCTGAACATGCTGAAATTTGAGGTACAGTTGTTTTTCCATAAAATATATCTCTGATATTTGATTGCGAACTATTACAAACACGAATAATGATAATATGTTTATTCTCAACAGGTTTAAACCCACATATAAAGAAAATACAAATAATTAAAGTATATAAGAATAAAAAAAAATCAGATTACAAAAAGAAAATGGAAAACAATCATAACATTGAATTTTTTATAGTTCTTAAAATAAACTGTTTGCTGTCATGATGTATATCGCACAGGTCGGACACTTTATTGAACAACTCACACATTACAAATATCGGCGACTTTTTCAATGAAATTGTCCTAGGATTCCTATTGTAGAAAGTAATCATATGCCTGGATTGTGATCTAGGTACAAGAAACTGAATTTATCTCAACAAGTCTCTACAATCAATTTCGTTATTCAAAAGTTCAATACCAAGAATTAAATCTTGAAGTGTGACTCAAGGATCAAAATTGAAATTGAACTTCGATGATTTCGATTTTTCATGAATGTGTATAGTATCTCAAAAGTAACCTTTTTTTACAGCTCTATCGTGGTTCATGAAGTGCTTTCCTTTGAAGAAGTTGTCGAGATGTTGGAAAAACTTGGTGGAACCCAAGAAGATATAGATTTAATGCAAGAAATTATGGAATTTGTGTCAGTAAAAAAGATTTTTGGTGCAAGTGGGCAGCAAATAAAGGTTAATCTATTCAATTTCTTTGTAGCACAAATTATATTCATTTGGTCAAAATAAGCTGAAACATGTTCAAATCTGAAATTCAAAATTATTAGTAACTGAACACAATCATTCGACAAGATATTCGGGCAATCTAAAAGTAATGAAAATGAAAACAAATGATATTTGGTGTGTGTGTATATGATATACTGTTGTCTGAGTTGAACTGCGTCTGTAATTTTCAATTTTTCGTCTGTACTTACATGACACGAGGACGTAATCTCCCTTGCCCCCAAGTCTCGTCGCTAGCAATCTTTTTGACTGTACTTACATGACTCGAGGATGAGGTCGTAATCTTCATTGCCCCCAAGTCTCGTCACTAGCAATATGCTTGCTGTGTTCAGCTCCGAGTCATGTAAGTACAGTTCCAAGTGATTCTTGAAAATGGCTCCAAAGCAGGAGCCGAAACATTGAAAAGATGCAAGTTACAGACGCGGTTAAACCCAGACAACAGTATATCAAATTACTGACTGCAGAAACCTATCCGTATGAATATATTCTGATGTGTGTATTTATGTTTACGATGTCACAAAAAATTATTGTCTAAACTTTCAAAGTTTATTCAATCATCTAGTCTCTTTAGTTTCAGTTCTGATTTATCTTTTTTTTTGTTGCTTTGTTCGTACTTATGTTATACTTTTAAATTGTTTTTTCCCTACTATAAACATGTATGTTTTTTGAGAAGACTAATAATAATAATTTTTTAGGAAAGATTTTCCACCCATCGAACAAATATGTCTTTGGCAAAGATCATTGAGGTTCTTGTGGAAGCGGGAATCCTTCTTCAAACTGGTATTTGTACGATAGTGTTTGTACATTATAAATACCGGTCTTACTGGTTAGCTGAAACTTATCAGATAACCACAGAGGATCAAAATGCTATTATGGAAATAGAAGAGAAGGAAATTGAAAATCAAGAAGTATTTCAAAATAAGTTGAGGTAGATTTTTATTTTAACTCATATGTGTCAAAGTTAACTTTTAGTGGTTGAAGGTAATTTTTTGAGAGGAGTTTCTTGTGATTAATAACTTGTCACTTACCTACCTTATGGGGTTTCAGCTTGAAAGTGGAATATCTGTATGATTTTTTGAATAATGTTTCGTTCATTCTGAAGAATAGCATACTCTAGTTTCATCTGAACAAGACTTTGAAAATAACGATGCCAGTAAAGAATCGAGTATGAATGAAAAGAAAGTGCTGGATAGAGTCCCAACTCTAGAAGAGATTAAAGAAGGTGAGTTTGTTTTATTGATTGTGTGAAATGGTGGGAGTCTTGATAAATACAGATAAGCATAATTAAGGATTATCCCTTCCATTGTTAGAAATGAAGATTGTGGAATAGACTGGAATAGACATCTTATCAAATTACTTTATCCAATAGCCAGAATTACGAAAACACTTTTNTCGAACAATTTTTTTGTAATTTTGGGAAATAATAGTTCTGAACTAGTAGATCAAAAGTGTTCCCGGGCTCAAAGTCCAAATGATGATAGTTTAAGAGATACAGCTCTTCGAAGTTTTATCATGCCCATGCGCTGTATGGCTTGTACGCACTTATGATGTTCTTGTTAAAGACAGCTCTGCATACATAATGAGACAAAACACCAGGTCAGTACATCTCACGTCGCTTGTCGCCTACAAAGTGTTACAACTTTTTTTAATTGGAAGAGGTCCTTCGTATATCTCGTTTGAAAAGTAATTTAGTTCTCTATCCAACACTATTTCACTTTTGGTTCACGGATCAGCTGTTTCTGGGTAATTAGTAGTTTTATGAAAAAATATTGTTGTTGAAAATTCTTTCTCATTAGTATCTTGTAAAAAACATTTTTGGACTTGTTGGGATAATCATCAGTTAAGTTTTCACAACATAATTTTTAAATGAGGCCTCATAAAATACTAGATTTCAGTTGCTTAATTTCAGGTTGGAAATAAACTCTTATTTCTATTCATTCTCAGTACATTTGTTTTTTTTTTTCTCATAAAATACCTGATTTTTGTTGTTTCTTTTTAATATATTTTACGAATCCTCTTGTCCATGACTTTATCTTGAAAAAATGTATGCACCATCAACTCTCCTGTATTTTGAAGCCCTATAAACAAAAAAAAGTCACGAATAATGGTACCTTTACTCATCATTAAACAAATCATTTATACAAATGTTTTATTGCCTTTCTTGAAAAATTGCAGGCAATGGTGAACAAATTAAGGAGAAACAATAAACACAAACAATTTATATATTGTTTTATGGTTAACTTTTTTACCTAGTTTTATTTTTCAGTGAAAAATATTTTTGAGAGTTTCTTGTGGTATTTGGTTTATTGGACAGCATATTTTTCCATACAAAATAATCTAGATATTGCAGAATCATTTAAAAACTATTTCATTGATAGCATACAAGACATTGTGAACACTATTGATCAATCTGATTTACTTCATGAGACCAATTTTATATCGATTAACAACTCCTTCGAGAAATTTAAAGTGTTGGAATTAGCAGATCTGTCTAAATTGATCAACTGAATGGAAATGAACTACAGCAGTGAAATACTTAATTGCAAACTTATTTAAAAAAACGTTTGGTGTTATAGGACATGCATTGTTGCATTTTGTGAATACATCTTTGAGCACTGGCCGATTCCCGAAGGAGCTCAAGACCAGTGTCCTTGAGCTAACGTCCCTAACACAAATAAATCCTGGGAATTTAGACCAATCAACACTTTGCCTTGTATTGAAAAAATATTAGAACTCGCAGTTTATAATCAACTCATTGAATATCTAGAAAATAATGATATTTTACTAAAATATCAGTCAGGTTTCAGAAAACACCATTCATGTGAGTCTGC